GCTGTCAAATCTAACAGTAAACACTGGAGGCATTACCTTGATGTCTTCTTAATTTTTATTGCATTTTACAAAAGTATTGATCTATGATGGAGTGGAAAAAGAAAACCAGCCTTTCACCAGTGACAGATTGAGTTGTGCTGGTTTAGCTACTGCAGGTACACTGGTCAGCGAATGTTGGGGTCCCCCCACCCACCCGAGACTTGAGGCATTACTGATTCAAAAAGGGAAGATTAGGGAGGTTGTAGGAATTTTTTTTATCTTTTAAGTTTTCATTGTTCCTCTTACAACATTTCTTGGAGCATCTCTTCCGTGGGTTAGAGGAAAGCTCCTGCAAGGGTGAATTTTGCAGCGTCTCCTCCAGGTGGGGTTGCTGAGATTCGCCTGAACGTGTGCACGTGGCAGCCGGTCCCCGGACTGAGCAGGCGCTGGGCAGCCCTCCTGCCACTCCCCTGGGACAGTCACTGCGGCCAGGGCTGACCCTCCACCTGGTAGGGACAGCATCAGGGAGCTAATGTCTGGGGAATGCTCTGGAGTTCTGCAGAGAAAAGGCAGAGGCCACCCCCGTGTGATCACATGTGATACCTTGAGCTAAGGGAGGAGAGCTGCAGACAGAGGGGAGAAACCAGGACAAGAAAATCAAGAGTTGAGTAATCTCTCGACTTCACTGCAGTCCCTTGGGTTGCCTATTCTTGTGGCCTTGAACTGTTTTCCCAAATGGAAAATTTGAGATGTGACGGTGGTGAGGGAATGAGGGACTCTGGTTTTGCCTTTTCCGCTGCTGGGAATTTCTCCCCAGGGATAGCCACGAGGCTCCCTCTCTCTCTCTCCTTTCCCAAGTCTTGGTTTAAATGCGGCCTTCTCTGTGAGGCCTCTGTGGCCCTGTCCCCCCCCCCCCCCCCCCCACACACACACTCTATCCCCTTTGCCTTTTTAGTTTTTCTCTGCAACATGTATCATCTAACACTGCCGTCCCCAACCCCTGGGCCGTGGACTGGTACCGCTCCAGGGCCTGTTTGGGGCAAGGCCGCAGAGCTCCGCAACCCCTGGCCCCCGTCCCTGGAAAAATTGTCTTCCATGAAACTTAGGAAGAGGGAAAGGGCCCCAGCAGTAGGTGAGCCAAGCGAAGCTTCGTCTGTATTTACAGCCGCTCCCCATAGCCGGCATCACCACCCGAGCTCCGCCTTCCCTGCCCTACCCCCGCTTCCTTGTCTGCCTTCCCTTCCCCCACCTCACCCTGGGGAAAAATTGTCTTCCATGAAACCTGTCCCTGGTGCCAAAAAAGGTTGGGGACCATGGATCTAACATACTGAGTCTGTATATTCTGTTAACCAAAAAAAAAAAAAAGAAAGAAAAGAAAAGAAAAAGAGAAAAACCATAAAAAAAACCCAAACTCTATAAAATAATTTAAAGAGGTTTATTCTGAGCTGAATCCATGCAACTGGCCTGGAGCACATGGCCTCACGGGGTCTTGAGGTAATGTGCCCTGGTGGCCAGGTGAGAGTTTGGTTTTATACATTCCTGAAGGCAGGAATTCCATGCAAGATGGTAAGTCAATCCCCAGAAGGTGTATGTTGGTTTGGCCCAAAAAGGCGGAACATCTTGAAGGAGGAGGGGTTTATAAGTTGTAGGTGTGTTTGAAGATTCTTTCATTGGCAATTGGTTAAAGAAATGAAGCTTTGTGTAAAGGCTTTGTGTAAAGGCTTTACCAAAACGTATGTGGTCTGTTAAGTACTTTGGTGGCCCGCAGGTGTGGTTTAAGCGGTGTCTTGCATGGCCTGCTGATGTTTTAGCATCTTATTCTAACAAAGAGTGACTCCAAAAAGAGTCATGTCTGACCCCCCTTCTCCTCATGGCTGGCAACTCGGCTTTACGGTTTTTATGGTGTCCCCTTGGCCAATAGGGGGTCTATTCATTCAGCTGGACAGCTTAAGATTTTATTTTAGTTCATAAAAAAAATTTTATTGTAATACGATGTAATTATTGTAATGTCATCGATTAGATGCAAGTTTACAAGGGCAAGGTTTTTGTCTGTATTGTTTGCTGCTGTATTTCCAGGTCTAACACAGTGCCTGGCCCGTGTCAGGTGCTCAATAAATATTGGTTATATAAATGAATGAATAACCAGCAGTGAAGGGGCAGGATCGCAGAGGTGCCAACTGTGTCCAAGGTGGCCTTTGCCATGTCCACACAGCTCTGTTCACTGAGCCATTGAGTTGGAGCCACTGGAAGGGCACAGTGAAGGGATGTAACCAGCCTTTAAGCAGCACGTACTGTATGCTGCGCACTGTGGTAGGCCTTCTGTATTCATTATCTAAGGATCCAGTCACCCCATGCGATATGTATTGTTAGCTCCATTTCATAGATGGGGAAACTTAAGAGGTTAAGAAACTCACGCGAGGTCACCCAGCCCAGTAAGTGGCAGAACTGGGATGCAACTTAGTCTATCTGATTCCTTCCATCCGGAAAATGTACAAAAACAGTCACTTGCTCACCATGTCTCTTGTTTCTTTGCTTTCCTACCTACAAAATGGGAATTTGTTTTCCTCATCCATCACCAAATGTTTATCTTATGAGAGCAAGCATTACTCAGATAGTACAAGATATGAGTTTTAAAAAATATGGGGCTGAAAAATTAGAAGGAGTTCTTGAGTAATGTTCACCAGTAACATGGGTTGAGTGGAGATCAGGGCTGGATTGAATCCAGCCAATGGGGATGAGTTTTTTTCTATGCAAGACTCTGTGCCAGGCACTGGTTCCAGTGTTGCCACTTGCTGCTATTATTCCAGATCTCTCCGTAGGCTGAGACCATAACCTCTAGACTCAGCTTATTGTCTCTCATTTTAAAAATATTTATGGGAGCATCTGCTAGGTGCTTGGGAGAGGTCAGTAGAGAGAACAGAGTTCTTGTCCTTCATGGAACTTATATTTTAGTAAGGAGAGGGAGGCAGGAAATCAACAGTGAGCAATAAACCATGAAGGAAATGATACGGTATGTTGGAAGATGGCAAGTGCTCTAGATAAGGAAGGTGGTGCGGGGGAAGGTTGCGGTGTTAAATTGAGTGGTCCAGGATGGCCCCATTGAGGGGGTGACCTTTGAGCAAAGACTGAAAAAGGTGAGGGTGTGAGCCCAGAGGCCATCTGGGGGGAGAGCATGGGAGGAGAGGGATCAGTGCCCTGGTGCTGAGATGGGATCGTGCCTGGTAGGTGTGGGGGACCCAAGGAGGTAGAGACAACAGGGTACCCCCACAAATGAGATACAGAAGGTGAGATAAAGTGAGTCAAGATAAGCAGAGATTTAATCTTTATGTTCTTTCCCTTTTATTCCCTTGGTAATGCCTAATATAGTTTCCTGTTCCTCAAAGTATTAGCACTGAAGTCTTTGGAAATGTAGCCACTGCAGGTGGGCTAACACCCTAACGTCTGTGGATTTGGGTTTCTTCAGCTGTATCATGACGGGAATCTAGGACATAATCTTTAATATCCCTTGTCTGACTCTTTTTTGAATGATTCCCTCCCAGGAGTTGTGTTGTGATCATTTCCTTCCCTCCTTCCCTCCTTCATTTATTCACCATGAGTCTTTAGAGCACTCGCGGCCACACAAGCACTGTCTGGAACAACACGCATAGAAGCGGAGGAAGTAGAAAACAGAATCTCTGCCTTTCAGTAGCTCGTGGTCTCTTCTTGCTAAGGTTCGAGAAGAAGGTGATAAGTCAGTGAGAATTAGAGCAAGTTACCGTTAGCAAAGTGAGAACAGCGTGGTAGAACAAGGGGGAATGTGAGTGAAAGGCTCCAGTAGGTATCGAGATGGGGGCAGTCAGGAATTTCAGGCTCAGGAAACTTGGAAAAGGGACAGGAGTGTGGCGAAGGTGTGCATGCTCTGGGAGAAGGGGTGATGAGGCTGTGAGATGAAGCTGTATTGAAAGGGAAGGCTGGGACCAGGCGCGGTGGCTCACACCTGTAATCCTAGCTCTCTGGGAGGCCGAGGCGGGCAGATTTGCTCGAGGTCAGGAGTTCGAAACCAGCCTGAGCAAGAGCGAGACCCCATCTACTATAAATAGAAAGAAATTAATTGGCCAACTAATATATATAGAAAAAATCAGCCGGGCATGGTGGCACATGCCTGTAGTCCCAGCTACTCGGGAGGCTGAGGCAGGAGGATCGCTTGAGCCCAGGAGTTTGAGGTTGCTGTGAGCTAGGCTGACGCCATGGCACTCACTCTAGCCTGGGCAACAAAGTGAGACTCTGTCTCAGAAAAACAAAAAACAAATAAAAAAAAGAGAGAAAGGGAAGGCTGATGGAGAACCTGCCACATCATCTCTGGATTTGGGCAGGAGGTGGATCTTAAGAAAACAGTGATGTCATGAAAATAGGAATGGAAAGATGGGAATGGCTGTTGGGTACTACGTGAGCTAGAGTAAGGAAATGAGGAGATGGGAAAACCAGCCCAGGAGACTGTTAAGTTTCCTCTGGATCCTGATTTCAGAAATTGTTGCATATCACGGATTTCTTCTCTGGCTGCCTCCTGGAATTGTAATCAAAATCCCGGGCACTGAGGTAGCAAAGAAAAATTCATTAAACAAGAAACATTTGAAGGGGTGGGGGAACCCACCTAAGCAAGAAATTGAAGCTTTTCCTGTGTGGTTGTCCTAAATTTTAGAATTGAACTCTCTGTTTTCAAGAGTTTTAGTGATAAGCTCTTAAAAAAAATTTTTTTTGAGAAATCAAATAAGACTGCCTCCTCCATTACTTGTCCAAGTGCCCTCTGGGAGCCATTCTGGAAGCAAAGAACTTCCCCAAATTGAGGTTCATGGCCAACTTCAATTTCCTCCATCCCATTGTAGTAGCACAACTTGTACATTTGCCACCTTCATATATGTGTTTACTCTGATGGGTTTTGTGTGGTTCAGCTGGGCTTGGATGCCAGCATCAATGAGCCCAGTAAAGCCCAGCATTTATCCACTCCGCCATTTCTGATTGTATTTCTGTGTTGATATTTCCAGGCTAATCTTGCACAACTATTGAGAGATTCTCAGGACCGAAATAAACATCTGGGAGAAGAAATTAAAGAACTTCAGCAAAGGCTTGGAGAAGTCCAGGGCGACAATAAGGTAGGGTGAATATTTGATGGGAAAAAGCTCTGATGCATAATTATGCGTTGGAGGTTTATGTAGCACATCAGAAAAAATGCAAGGCAGCATTTGTTGAAAAATTTGTTATAGATTTTTAGATTTATAATGAAAATTCACAGTTTAACATTTCTTATCTTTATTACATTCCCTGTGTGTGTGTGTACATGCATATGTGTTTGTTTCTGGGTACCTCTAAAATATTGTCACAGCCCATCGTAGAGCCTTCATTATGTTCAGCTTGGTGGTGAATAACATTGTGGTTGAGGGCAAAATAAAACCCAAATGCTATCCTTTCCCCACTTCTATACAAATAATGGATTTGTGGCTCAGCTGATTTGGAATTATTCACATTTGGTTTTGAATTTTAAGTAGTCATCCTACTAATTATGTTCACATAACCAATTTATTTTATTGCTAAATTTGGCAATTTGTATGGAACATTGCTCAAAATCCACTGCTTGGTATTAATCAAACTCCCCTGTTGGCAACGTTAATTATAAAATATGAACTCATAAACTCCAAACTAAATGTGTGCACTCTCTCTCCCAGCTAAAGCTATGAACAAAAGTACAATGGAGAAAGGAAAGAAAAACTACCGAAGCTTAATTCTGTCCCCCAAAATAATTTCCCATTTTGCCAGGATTGATTCATTTTCAACTCCTTGCCAGGGGCAGTTTGTGCAACAGAGATGGTGTTGGAGTTTTTGTCTCAGGAAAACTATATCGTACGTCTGTGTGTTGAAGGGGGCCTTCTTGGGGAAATGTTTTCGATGTGTTACCAAATTCCTTGACAGATGATGGTGATTTTCATTGTTGTTGGGAGTTGCTGGTTATTACAAGATGCCATTTTGAAAGATTCTCTTTTAAAAGAGTCTCATTTTGAAACAACTCTCTTTTAAAAATGCACAGAATTGTCTGGATCATGTAAAGAACGCTCCCATATACGAGAACAGAGAGGACTTTGTACATACTGAGGCCCAATCTGAGGGCATATGCTTACCTGGGAAACCAACTCTGCATAGATTCTTCTCCACTTAATCTGCCTTAATTTTTTTTTAACCTTTTAGATTTAACATAAATTTGAAAAATGAGGCTCTACCATTGCCGGTCATGACATAGAGGGTGGAAAGATGCCCAGGAAAGGTTCTAATTAACACTGGACAAGCTAATCAGCTCATGTGGCTTTATGCCTCAGTGAAAGGAAGTGAGCTCTATAACCTAGGTGTTTGGTCAATAATTAAAGGCCAGACCTTCTTAGTCACTTCCTCCAGCAAAAGCAGCAGGGCAAGGTTTTCTAAAGAATAAAATGAAATGTGTGCAGTAGTTTTTCTTTAAGCCCATGAAAATACTAGAGGAATTTTGGAGACCTTTATAAACCCACAAAATGCTGAAACATTTTGTAATGTGACTTTTGGATTCATGGTTCTTCTTGACTGATAATTTTTTTCCTATTTTATTTTCTGTTTTCTGTTTTCTGAGCTATACCTTCACCCCAACTTCCCTAAATACGCTTGTGTCTCATCTTTTGGTCACTTTTAATTTCCTTTGCCTTTTATGCGTGACAGTTTTCAGAGTTGACTTTTGCCACTGATATTTCATGGAAAGAAAGGGAGGGCATGTGTGCGTGTGCAAGCGTGTGAGTGTGCGTGTGTGAGTCTGTGTGCGCGTTTGCATGTGTAACACTAAGCACAGACTGGGCCTCCCGTTGCTTTGTCACAGGCTGAACTTTGTGATTTGCTTGCGCTCTGAGTCTTTATTCCACTAGCTGGATACATTTATCAAACTTTGTTTCTTACCCAAGGTTTGGAATTTAGTGACTTATGTTCATGGGCTGTGAAGCAATTTGCCTGCCAAAAGGTGCAGGGAGGATGTTCTATGTTCAGCAGAACCCCCATCTCGGTGTCTGGCCTCTCCCAACCTCAAAAAAACACTAACCCAGCCAGCGAGCCCCAGAGGTTCGATTTATTCTCACTTTCGCTAAAGTCCCTGGGCTGGTTTATTTTCAGGCCTGTGTGAGTCACAGCCATCCTCCCCTGCCCTACCTCCAGTCCCCAACATTAAGGCCAGATTGCTCATCCTGTAATGACACCAGGCTTCTTGAGAAACTCAGAAGCCCCTGTTCAAAGGTAGCTGTGACTGTGTCGTAGAGAATGAGTTAACCCTTTGGGGTTTTGTTGTGTTTTGTTTTTAAGAGACAGTGGTCTCCCTGTGTTGCCCAGGCTGGTCTCCACCTCCTGGGCTGAAGCAATCCTCCTGCCCCAGCCTCCCGAGTAGCTGGGACTTGGGACTACAGGTTCATGCCACTGCACCCAGTTTGCTTTGCTTTTTATTCTTTTCCTCAAAGCCTGTCACATTTAGCAGAGGGGGGTTATATAACAACTTTAGTGACACTAATGTTAATAAGTTCTGATAACCCATTACCCTCTGACCAGCCTTTTTTTGTTTTTGGGTTTTTTTTGTTGTTGGTTTTTTTTTTTTTGGATTCATCATGTCACTTGCTGCTCCAACACTCCCACTACCTACTGGATCCAGTTCCACCTCCTTGTTAGCCTCCATGATCTGTCCTCTGTGGATTTCTCCAGCCACGTCCTTGCCACTAGTCAGCTCATACTTGAGCCCTAGAGTGCTAATTTCAGCCCCTTTGCTGGACCCTACTGCCTGGTGCCTCAGGACCTTTGCACTGGCTATTTGCTCAATCTGGAACACTCTTCCCCTAAACTTCCTTGGCAAGCTCCTGCTTATGTTTTAGGTCACAGGACAAACGTAGCCTTCTCCACCTCTTAGGTGTCAGTCCTGTGCTGCTGACAGTGCCTGGCTCTGCCCCTCTAATTGCAGCTTTGTGGCACCCCCAGCCTCAAGGGTAAGCTCTTTGCATTTTGTGTCCTAAAAATTAGAACTCTTAGTTCTCGCTGCATAGAAAATATTTAATCTTTATTGAAGGAACAGAATGGAATAAAGGAATGCGTGAGTGAATAAAATGAATGAACAAAGGGAATGTAAAGAAGAGCAAAAGGATTCAAGGAGGAGGAAGAGAGGAAGGAAGGAAGCACACAAGAAACAGCAGACTGACTGCCATCTGGATGTCATTAGTACCTCGCTTTGGCGTAAGGAGTAGTTCAGAAATTTGGAGAAAGGAGCTAGGAAAGCAACTGATCCAACAGGGGAAAGAAAAACAGGCCAAGGCGTAGACGCCGGGCAGCCCCTGGGGAGAGAGCAGCGGGTCTGAGGCTGAGCCGGCGGACAAAGGACGAGTGTCCTGCTCTTCGGCTGGTTCAAGACTGTTAAATTCAGGAATACTGACTAATTGTTGTTGTTGGACTCCGAACCCTGATGCCACGCGGGGGGAGGGCTGATGGCACCATTTGATGAGTGACTGTCGAAGTGGAAGATTTCTATCTCTGACTTGCCATTGCAACTGATGACCTTTATCCACATTTTGGGAAGCCCAGATTCTAGATGTTAAGTACATTTAAGAAACAAGGTGATAGGAAATTACTTGCCTTGGATATTTTAGGGTAGACTAATTTTTCCATTTGTTCAGCTAGAGCCTTGGAACCCTACGTGCCATAAAGCATTTCCAAACGGCCTCTTGAAAGATTTGTTGCCACCCTGGCTTCCAAGCAGTTTAGCACTCACGTGGTGGGGGTGGGGGTGGGGGTCGGGATGGGCATCCAGTGGCGGGGGGCCTGGGTCATCAGTCACCTCCTGTCACCTCTCTGTTCAGTGCCCAGGAATTTCTCGGGCTCCCCAGCTCACACAGATCCCCAAGCCAAAACCAGATGAGAAGTGTGAGAAGGGAAGCCTACTAGATACCCTCCCCTTCCTTAAAAAGTCCAGTTCTTAAAGGTTAAAGAGGACGGAGGAGCCCTCTGGGGAGGGGGCTGCTCACAGTGACACAGATCACCCTGGAAAAGCTTTGCACGTTGCCCAGGGCCGTCAGCCTGTGAGGAATAAAGACCAATTGTATGGGAGGAGTCGGACAGTGCTGAGACCTCACATTGAAAAGGAGCCGGGGGAGCCAGCTGCAGTCCCCTTGCCGGCCAGAGGCCTGCCCGCCTCCTCTTGTGGGCATTAAGAGGAAATTCAGGGACAGGGGATCAGAGGAGAAAAGGGGTCTCTGGCTATTTAAGGATTAGTAAGGCAACCAACAAAACTAGCAGGGTACAGTTGAATCACAGCGACAGTAGTCCCCCGCTTACCTATGGGGGTGCCTTCCAAGACCCCATGGATGCCTGGAACCAAGGCTGGTACTAACCTTCGTTGCTGTCAGTCAGGGCACGCTTCTGCCCGTGTCTTCCCCCTGCAGAGGTAAAGCCTTTTCCATCTTAGCTAAGCACTTACCATGCACTGTGGCCGTAACTTTTGCAGTTTGAGGTACAACAGCAAAAGGAGCAGAATTTCTTTTTCCTTTACAATTTCACGGACAGAAGATTCATTCTTACCGTAGATCTTAGCAAGCTCAGGTGTAGGATTTTTTTCCCTCCCCTTATTAAGTCAAGAACTTTCACCTTTTCACTTGAAGCACTTTATGGCTTCCCTTTGGCATATCCAAATCGCCAGCTTCTCGACTCTAGCACTTTGGGCTCCTCGAACGCAAGCACCGCAGTGAATACCTCGGCAGCTGATCTGATAAGCAAGAAGGCACTAAGCAAGTAAGGGGTGTTGGACAAAGGGATTCACGTCCTGCATGGGATGAATTGGGATGGTGCAAGATTTCATCACGCTACTCAGAACGGCCTGCAGTTGAACACTTACGAATTGTTTACTTCTGGAATTTTTCATTTAATATTTTCAGACTGCGGTTGATTGTGGGTAGCTAAAACCAAGGATCAGGGAGAACTGTCCCTGGAGGTGTGCCGGAGAATCAGCTCTCTGAAAGAAGCAGCCCAGCTGGTAGCACTTTGCCATGGTTTAGATACTTGATACTGTGACAGATATCAGGCTACCAAAGACTACACTCACTGAACTTGGAAGGATTTG